AAAGCCAATCTCGACACGGCACAACCCGAGATACGATTATCGTATGCCAAAACCAGCTCGAACTTCACCTCGGTCGGACTTCGCACTCGACAAGCCCCGCGCCACACACGAAGCCACTTGAAGACGTGGGGCTGAGCAGGGGGGAAACTCGCGGCAGAGCATTACCTCAGCTATTTCTTGGTTAAATGCTAATAATGGGAATATATACTAAAAATAAACCTTTTTCTTTTTATCGCCGTAGCGGTTCTATAAACAATCACTGATAGAAGAACTACTCTCCATTCCATTCTATTTCAAATAACTTGCTGTAAATCAAAAACAAAGGAAAGTTTTGAATGCCGAAAGATCCAGACATCGATGAGGCATTCGTTCGTAATCGGCAGCAGCATGATTGAGAACAGTTCGGGATTGGTCGGAGAGGAGCGAATCTGCGCGGCAAAACGCAACGGGTTTCAGTGCCCCCGTGTTTTTGCTTAAGTTCAAGACGGGACGCGCGACACAGCGCAGATAGAAGTGATGCCACCCATCACAACGAATGCGATTATGTGCGAGGAGGTAGAGAACGTCTGGAGGAGGTACGGGGAGGAGACTATGCCGGCTACGTACTCGGGAATACGGACGTTGAACGCATTTAGGCCCGCGTTGTGTACATCCAGATAAGATAAGATACGTTTCAAAGCTGTTGCACGCACAGTACTTAGCGCCTCGAAGGAGAACTCATTGGTGAATGGCAAAACACGTTAGAGAAGAGCAGTGCAAGAGGAGCTGGCCTAGTGAGGCAACGAATCGTAAATCTAAGCTGCTAATCGAGATTGTTAATTGGATGGATTTAGCTGGTGTCATGTAAGCCCAGCAATGCACGCCCGGCTCCGAGCGGAAGGATTACGGAACGACGATGAGATGCCTCAAAACGGATAAAGCACTAGTTCATTTCCCTCAAAGCACAATCAGCATGGCACATGCACTCTCCCATCACTATGTAATCCCGTATATATGCACAACAATGATATGCGATGGATAATCGCTTTCGAAATTTGGAATGCATTTTCACGATTTCGGAGACAGACTCGGCTTATCGGATACTCATTGATTTTGGCGACTAGTCAGTCGAGAATTGAAAATTCCATTCCACGTTACGGGTATAGCGAGGTGATAGATAAGGAGAGCCCACAGATTTGCTTCGTACTTCTAAACTTTCACTATGAAAACAATCTTCTCGACTTGAATGCTATGCTTTGTGCAGAGGAGGAGGAGGAAGTCGGTAGTGAGCAGTGGGTGAGGATTGTAAATTGATTGGTTTTGATTACTCGAGGATTTGAAAGGGCTAAGTAGCGGGGAAGTACACAAAGCTTCTTTCGAGTGAGACGTGCCAGCCAGCAGAAGAAGAGCGAAGGGGATCGAATGATAGGGGACTAAGGCATCGCTATCGTGTGTTATCTTTAGGTCAGGCCGCCAAATCGGATCCCCGGCTAATAAACTAGGGAACAAACAGCGGTGCTTGATAAAGCGATGGATTGATACCAAGGCATCAAATCAGATCAATAGCTAAAACGTCAACCAAAACACCGTTTGCGGAATGAAGGGGCAATTTTGGAGGACAGGATAAGCGACTCCCGAATTGCTTTCTTCTGCAAAGTCGACATAGCACTGTTGCAGGGCACGTGCTG